CTGTCAAATGTAAAACCACAATGATCATTTATAATCTGCAAAAACAAGTATTAATGATTTTATTACACATGTATACTTCAAAATGGAATCAAACAAATATAAAGAATATGCAGACATATGATACACTGTTATTATTCGATTAACGTGATTAAAGTATGAGTTCAACTAAGTAACTACATAGCATGTATGTTGTTGTTCTTGGTATGAAGCTAACATTTGTATTGATAAAACCGAAACAATTTTCACTCTTCTAACATTGCGTTCTCGTCCTTTTTTGCTCTTACTTAATTGACGTATATTCAATTTTCACCGTCAACAAAACAAGTAAATCACAAAAATACTGAACTCCGAGGAAATTTCAAAAAGGAAAGTCCCTAGTCAAATGGCAAAATCAAAAGCTCAAAGACATAAAACGCATGGGTAACAACTGTCTTATTCCTGACTTGGTACAGACATTTTCTTATGTAGAATTTAAATTGCAAAAAATGTATATTCATAAAATATTTAGTAATTTTTTTACCAGATATTCAGTGAAAATAAGAAGTATGTCCTTGACGCAAAGTACTACTTTTAGTGCTTACTTAGCTTGTCGTTCGATATGTTTTTTGTGGCATTTAAATTGTATTTTAAACCAATTTTATGGCTTAGTTTGCAATTTTTCATAGTGAAAAGCAAATTTTTCAAAAATGTAGTTTCTTAAGAAAGTGCACCAGTCTGGTTCCAAATTATAATGTTATTTTCATAATGTTTTGTGTATACTAACTTTTGAATAAATAGACCAAGAATATGCATTGAAAATAACTTTAAAGATATGTTTTTAACACGTGTTTATTATTTAACATTGCAATGTAGAAAATACCTTTAACAAAAAAGCCAAACTTTAAATTAAAACTTGTCCACAATAAGAAAGCGTCTATGGTCAATTTTGACACGGATTCTATACAGTAAAAATTTAGAAAAATAGACCAAGGCCATGCATTATATATATTTTTATAAACATCTAAAATATGTTTTTTTTCTGCATTGAGGTGTATTCGATATGTCAAAGTTTGACCTGTTTAATGTAATTATATTGCGATGAATACCAACCCTGTAAAAAATATTATGTTAAAATTGTCTATAAGATGAATTCGAAGATGTCAATTCGACATGATTAAAAAAAAAAATCGGACAACACAAAATAAAAAAAAAAAATTCAAAGTTGTTCGGATAAAGGTATACGTCCATAATATATAATAAACCATTTTTTTTTAAATAGAATACATGAACGTATCTTGGTTAGCGGCGAATTAAAGCGAATAAACCTATATGCCTTCTTTACCAACCAAAATAAGCTGCGGAATCGTAGTTCCTATCTCCTTTATTTATAGTCTGTAAATTGTCAAAATATATCAAAAGAATAATAAAACATATCAGGTTTCTTTCCATGAATATATTTGGTTCGCTCCACTCGTCGACTTTCTTACAAATGCTCAAGTTAAGATATACAATGATATACGTTGTTATAAATTAATTTCATTTACCTGTGTATAGTATTGTTTGGCGACTTTTTGTTTAGGGTTATTTTTTTTCTTCTGAAAATGTGTAACATCTCTCAGCGGTATACTAGTACTACTGTTGCCTATAATTATTCACACCTTATTCTATTGATTTTGTATTTACATTGTATCATAGATCCAATTTATTCGTTATGTGTATGTTCACTTGTGTTAATATATCTTTTGATTGAGTTAAGCTATTTCAATTGATATTTAATAGTGTGTCTTTCTATGTTGTGATGTTACACTATTGTTTCAGATAAAGGTGAAGGTAGGTACCTCTTAAAACGTTTAATCTCGCTGCATTTGTTTTTATCGGCCTTAAGTCAGGAATCTGATTCCAGTAGTTGTCGTTTGTTGATGTGGTTCATAAGTGTTTCTCGTTTCTCTTTTTTTATATAGATTAGATAGTTGGTTTTCCCGTTCGAATGGCTTTACACTAGTCTTTTGTGGGGCCCTTTATAACATACTGTTCGTTGTGAGCCAAGGCTTCGTCTTGAAGACCGTACGTTGACCTATGATGGTTAACTTTTTCAAATTGTGACTTGGATGGAGAGTTGTCTCATACCACATTTTCTTTTATCTATGGAACGAGAACGTTATTCATACATCTTGTCAGATATGACTAGAATAATCAGGTGAAGGGTTCCGAATATCAAGAACACACACATTTTTGACAAAACTTGGATGGTTTATTTGCTGTGCTTATATTTCGGCAATTTTAGTTTTGCAAAATGTTTTCAGGTTTGTTAGTATGTTAATGATTGTCAATGGTTACACATTATTTTGTTTTATTCGTTGGACAGTTTTTCTTATTTCGATTGGATTGCTTGCATAATTAATCCGAAAATTATTGTCTTTATCTGTATATATAAGTCTTTGCATTTTCATGTTTTGCTTTTTAGATTGTTTGTTTCTTGGTTGTTACTGCTATATGTTCATCTTCTTCATTTGATCGTCTTTTAGATTCTATCTCGCGCTTATTTGGCTTTTATCGTGTTTTATGCTTATATTTCTTTATGTCGTTATTTCTTTTAGAAAAGTAGAAGAATTGTTGGTTTGATGATAATAGCATGATCATTTGTACATTGTAAATATATATTTGGTAGTCAAGTAAAGCTATAAACGCAATCTGGAAAATCCAAAACGGCGGCCATTTCCAGATGTGTGCTAATCAGTCCAAATTTTACAATCCAACGTTTCTAGTCAGTCTTGACGATATCTTAAAGGGTTTCTTTTCAGAAAGGGGCGGAAAATGTCAAAATGGTTGGCAATAAGTAAAAATTAACAAAAATGAGACAAGGCTACAGACAATTTATTTCTTCTTTCGAATTGCACTTTGCAGTAAATTCAAAATTATAGGGGAATGGGTAATGATACATTGGCGCTGTTTGCATAACACATGTTCAATTTAAAAAAAGGTCCCATAAATTGGAACATTCGAACGTTTTCAGGACGTCATGACAATGTTGTCAACCAACGAAATTATTGTTTATTTATCGTGTTGATATTGAACGTCTCACCTCATTTCAAACGTTCTCATTTGGTCAAGATTAATATAATTTACATGGATCAATGTTTTTTGTATGTTTTAAATGTTGTAACTCTAAGGATAAGAAAAGAGATTTTTATATATAATCCACTTTTATATGGTATATGCCTTATTACTTGATATACTTGATATAAATTGATAATTGGATCATTCATAAACCAAAAACCAAAGTACCTCATCCTTTCCTGGTCCTATTATCCAGTAGAAGGCCTATATACATAATGAGATGGTTTTAATTCCATTAAGTGCACTGTTAAAAAATAATAGAGTAATCAAACAGAAGTAACTTTGAAATAGATAATGTCATATTTGCCACAATGGAATACATCCACTGAATCTGAATATTTGGCCAAACGATTATCAAATTATGTTTTTTTAAATGTTGAAAAGACTTTCGCTCACATTATGTCTTCCTGCACTAACTGCATGTGCAGTGTTTTTAAGTATCGTAGTCATGCAACATATTGCAGTGTTTGCTTGTTGAATTGCTAAACCGAAATATTCACTACACAGAAGAAACAAGCACATGCCGTGTTAAATACATGAAAATCCTAACATCATTGTATGAGTTAAATCAGTAACAAATTACGATGTACTATACCAGTTGAAAATTATTTTCATTTACCTGTAACTATTATTATTTGGCGGCTTTTTGTTCAAGGTTATTGGTTTTTTTTCTGAAATTGTGTAACATATCTCAGCGGTATACTACTATTGCCTATATTTATTCACACCTTATTTTATTGATTTTGTATATTTATTGTATCATAGATCCAATTTATTTGTTCAGTGTATGATCACTTGTGTTAATATGTCGATATTGATATCTTATCGCGGCCTTAATGAAAAATTCCGCTATATTAAAATTTCAAATTGTGTCCATAGCTTATTTTGTTCAAAGCGCCCAGTAAGTACATATACATACATGCCAAATTTTTACTAATAGAAAGGATATTTGTTGGTATTGATATTTCGTTACTGACCATCTTAAATTTTTATTGTTAGTTCATATCCAATATTTTTCGAAACAACCAGCACTACTGCCATGTCTTGTATACAAAATATTTGTGGATTTTTATCATTTTGCTGGCCATCTTTGAAAAGGCAGCCATTTTAAAATTTAAAGTTGGGTTCATAGCTAATTTTATTTGAAACACCAAGTTCTACTACAATGACAATTTTGGTGTATCGTCAAACCCACAATTTGTTCACCCATCTGCCGAACTATCAAAAAAAGGATTTTTTCTCAACCGGTCAGTATAGAATAAAGTAAAATCTCAATACTGAACTCCGAGGAAACACAAAAAAGGAAAGTCCTTAACCAAATGGCAAAATAAAAAACTCAAACACATTTGGCTGATTAACGAAGGACAAATACACTTAAATTCCCAATTTATGGACAAAGGAGATATTACTCTTGCTATGATTGTGTTTATCAAAACTTATCTATATTCCAGGGTTGTACTATCAACAGCAGCATATGTCATACGTCTGTCCTTTTTGTTGAAGGGAGTAAGGTGACATATAGTTGCTTACATTCATCACATATTTTGTGTATAGTTTTTCATTGGCAATCATACAACATCTTTTAATTTTTATACTGAAAGATAATTTTCTATCAAAATATTTTGTTAAATACACACCTATGTTTTCCTTAAAATACATAGTGCATATTCTTGATTACTATTTTTTTTCCTGTTTAATAATTACAATATCATTTCCATTTACATCAGGGGGAATAGAGAGGAGAGATGTATTCTTCATTTTTGTGATGTTTTATTTTTCAGACTAATCTTTTTGCACTTTATATTTTACTCATTGTTCTCTATTCTTTAAATTTCAGACCCAATAGTTCATCTTTGTTTTAGTTTTTTTGCCTATTTTTACATACTAATTATATATAAGGATACTACATTTCCTTTGCTATCATGTCTCCTAATGCCTTGACTCATCTGTGCCTGTAATCACGTCGAAAATAGCTTATTGTAATAGCAAATCTATAACATTTGTTTTATTAGCAATCACCTCCTATCATTTGAAGCTAAAAGTACCAAATGAAGATCCTTTTACCAACTAATTTAGACATTAACTGATTGCCCCTCGATTTCCTCTCTGTACAATTCTTGAGTAACAATAATTTTCATTTCCAAAATTTTTAATTGTCATTCAATCAGCTTCACCATTTCGTCATTTTTTGAGAAATAAGAAATTAAATGAATGAAATTAAAAACAGAAACAAAAACCATATGACCATAACAAATATTTGGTGATAAAAAAATCATATGATGTTGCACTTCTTTTTGGTACGACCATTTTAATGATTTTCCCATGTGTCCTAAATTTTTAGCCATTATAATATTTGAAAAATCTCAAATTCCAAAATTCCACTTTATCATACTTTCAATAAAGATACAGCGCGTCTGGCGTAAATATAAAAATTTCAATCCTGGTTTTTATGATGAGTTTATTGACAAATCTGAATAAATCTAACTTAAAAAACTATAGGTAGGTTTTATTATAAGAAAGTCTTATAAAATGTTGTTGCTTTTTTGTGTAAAATTTGTGTTGTAAATTTTCCTCGGAATTCAGTATTTTTGTGATTTTAATTTTTACTACGGTGTCAATTTTTTACATTTAACATGTTTTTATTTTTAAGAAAAAAAGCATATTATTTCAACTTCTTTGTTATTAATGATTTAAAAAAATACACATCTAAGACATTTAAAACAAAATGTTTGATAGGGGATGCTTATTGTAAAATCAATTCGTGTACCCCTACCAAATTTTCTCAACATTTAGGCTAATAAGACTGCCTTGATTGGAAATTAGATTTGAAAATGTTATTTCTCAAAAACGTTTTATTGTAAATGCACAATTTTTTCACAGAAATAAGTTTGATTATATTATATTTTCAATTCATTGATATATTTCACTTGTATCACATGTTTTGGAAATAATTGAAGAAAGAGATTTCAACGAGACTGAAACGTCATAAAAATACAACCTTAAAGGAGAAAAATAGAAATAAAATCAATTAAAGATTTCACAAAATGCAAACATTAAAAGTACCCCCTAACATAAAACATGTTCTAATGCAATATAACACTAACTAAGATTTAAACCAAGTAACATACTATTACACCCTCATATACTTTTCTAATATTGCATTTAAATGATACATGTCAGCCCTTTCAACAAGCTCGACAATGATATGTTGTTTAGAACAGAAATGCTTTTAAATTTAAAAAAAATGGCTTATACAAGCAATGCATATCATCTGCCTACTTTACTGATGTTTATTTTACAGAATTCGAATTAAATTGACTTTAAACGTTTTAATTTGAAGTTAATGATTTCTTGTTAAAGGTCTATTTTACAGAACATTGCTACAATAATAACGTGACTATATACTTTATATAATTCCAACCTTGAAAGAAACTAAATATGATCATTCTGATGTCAACAAGTTCGACAAATGAATTGTAAAACACATATCTTTAAAGCTATCAAATCGTATTTACATTGCGTTATTGGTCTATTGTATTAATCGTTACTGTATACTTAATATTATATTGATACATTTTAAATCATAAACTAAACTTGAGCGCTTTGTTTTCAATGTTCGAAAAATTCATAATTCACTAAGAAAATTTGCAAGTTTGATCATAAATTCTTTGTATTGGGATAATTAAAACTACAACATTCAAAATGGACGACATGCTTAGTAAACATTAATAATAATACGATGTGTCAATGAAATTTAATATGAAAAACTATATATGTTAGGATAAATTATTAACTATTTAACAGTATAACTTTTTTAACTGTTTGGATCTGTTTACGGACAAATATGAATATGCATAAAGTGAAAAGGGTCACGAAAAAATGATGACAACGCAATATTCAGGGACAGCAAATTATTCTGGTTTAATCGATTGAAATTTGAGCTTGATATCTAAACAACAGCATACATAGCCGGAAGTTGCAGAGTTGATTAGATTTAACAATGTTTAGCATTTCCTTTTTGCACTGAATCTGTTACCAACACATAGTGTTTTTGTCCATTTGAATTCACTCTAAAAGCGTACATAGCCTTCTCATCTCATATTAACACAAGTTTATGGAAAGAAAAGTAAAATCACAAAAATACTGATTTCTGAGGAAAATTCAAAACGGAAAGTTCCTAATCAAATTGCAAAATCAAAAGCTCAAACACATCAAACGAATGGATAAACAACTGTCATATTCCTGACTTGGTACAGGCATTTTCTTATGTAGGAAATGTTGGAGTGAACCTGGTTTTTAAGCTAGCTGAACCTCTCACTTGTATATATATATAGAAGACTTATATTTTGAAGTGAAGCTTGCAAAAAAAAAAAACATTTTACCTAGACACTGTAATGGTAGTAGGTCTAAAATCATAAGAACGTGATATCGCTTGATGTAATTATCATATTGAATCAAATAAGTTAATGGGAATTGGTTTCAAATAAACTCGTTAAAAAACGTATAATTATGAAGAACAGATCAGAGTTTATGAAACAAAGGAAAGATCAACATTAATCTACCAATGGTATACGAAAAGCAAGGTGTATCAAAGTTAGATAAATTTGTATGAACAATATATTGACAAAGAAAACTTCTATTTCAATTGCCTAATATAAAAATTTAAGACATACATTTGAGAAAGGAAATTGGGAGTAAATAAAAGAGAAAACTACCCGACCAAAAGAGCAGATAACACACACCAATGTGTCTTCAACTCAATGAGAAAATCCCGCAACTTGAGGTAGGCCTCAGCTGGCCCAAAACAAGAAAGTGTACTATTTTAGTGAAAATGTTGCCCAGAAATTTAACAACGATCCTGGTAAAATTATCTATCCTTTAATTAAACTTATCCTAAAAGGTTACCAATTCAACACTGTAATTAGATCACTGAATATTGTTTTTATTGGTATTAATATTGATTTTTGTTATCAGTAGATTAAAAGCAAACTCAAAATTATTGTTATATACATGTTCATATTTATGGATCTACAATCTGTCGATACCTATATCTTTGCATTGCACAAGGTCATGTTTTTCTCTGACTGTTTATGACGTCTTTACACCAAATTCATTGAATGTTTAATGTGTACTCAATGATAATTTAGTCTTAGATGCATGATTTTTTTATTAGTTGTTAGTGGCGTTCAACTAGCTGTCAGTAACTGCGAGTACTCTCAGATCTGTACTTAGTGTCTTATTGTTGTTGGGATGTACAAGTACCCGGCCATGTCCACTTGTATTTGTAGTATTTGTATTTTTATCCATCTGATGAGTAAAGCCTTTTTCAATTGATTTTTATAGTTCGTTCTTATGTTGTACTGTTACATCACTGTCACAGGTTCGGGAGAGGATTGGCATCCCGCTAACATGTTTAACCCTGCCAAATTCTTTTTGTATATGCCTCTCCGGAGCCTGTAATTCAGTGGTTGTCGTTTGCTTATGTGTTTACATATTTGTTTCCGTTCATTTTTTGTACATAAATTAGGCCGTTAGTTTTCTCTTTTGAATTGTTTTACATCATCATTTCGGGGACTTTGCGGTATGGACTTTGCTCATTGTTTAAGGCCGTTCGGTAACCTTTAGTTGTTAATTTCTGGGTCAGTTTGGTCTCTTGTGGAGAGTTGTCTCATTGGCAATCATATCACATATTATTCTTTTTTATAACAACGCATTTTATCCAAACATAGGTTAAAGATTATTGGTTAAACGACAAGCAAATGTATCATTTCAAAACCTTAGACTTGTTAATTACTACAGTTTTTCTACACAAAATATCATTAAAACTTAACATACTGAAATTGTGTGATATTGATCGTCAATATGATTGTCCCGTCTTCTCATTTTACAAGTGTGTAATTTAATTCATGGGGTTGATCTATAATGACCATTTTCAAATTAAGTTTGCAAAACTTCAGCTGTATTACAATATCGTGCACGGGTACAGACAACCATACTTTGATAGAAAAATACAAAGGACCATTTCATAATCAGTAGAATGGAATCTTCGTACACCCTTAACACACATTTTCTTTCAGATCCCACATCAACAGGGTTAGTTCAATTGTACAGACTAGTTGTGGTTAAGCGGACTTTCAATTGCCTACTGTAGTAGTTGTGATTATCCGGACTCTCAATTTCCCTTTTATGATACATAGTTCCCACAAGGGTCCTGTTCCTCAGTAAAAATTACATCAGGATCTTTGCATACGAATGAGAAGTGCTCCTACTGTTATTTCATTAAAATGTCTAGTTTCTGATGAACGAAAGCCCCTAAAAACAATATACTTTCATGAAATATTATGTTTCCTTGACTGATCACTTATTAAACTACTGTTTTCTAACGAATCACACACGGTTCTCAGCGGTACCATTTCTATATAAGGACAAAAAAACCCAAACATTCTTTATTCTGCTAGAAACATTTTTGCCCAGTTTCACGGTTCCGATTTTTGAAATGCAAGCAACGATTGACCACAAGTCATATTTTATGCAGGTCTGGGAAAAAAATAACATTGTTGGAATATATTCTTGGAATGTCGAATTGTTGTGACATAGTTTATCTCTTCCTGGACTATAGGTCAATGCAGATGATATGTACAGGCTGCTGATCAATTGTCTTGGCTCAACATGCGTGGAATGCTAACAGGTCATTTCTAATGTTTTGAATATCATCTGCTTCAAGCAATCTGTATAATCACGTTGTTAACTTTCGTTGATATGGTCATAATTTTAAATTAACTATTTACAAAACTTTGAGTTTTTGAAATACTAAGGCTTTTCTTCCTCAGGAATAGATGACCTTAACTGTATTTGGCAAACATTTTAGGAATTTTGTCAATACACTTCAACTTCGTATTTATTTGGCCTTTTTAACTTT